ACAAAAACGTATTTTTCAGTTGTTTTGACTATTTTCCGTTTTTCGAGTCTGTTGGTCGGCTGTCAAGATTTCTATCACTCTGAAAACGTTGGAAAGTATGAAACAGACCAAGATCGAAATCTTTGCATTCACAAAATTTTTTGATATTTCCTAGTTTTTCAGTCATTTGCTGATTTCTGAAAGATATGATTTATTCACGTTTACAGTACGAAAACGGACCAAAAAGAGGTATCTCTCAGAAATCGCCAATTAGCTGATAAACTGAGAATTTTTTAATGTTGGTCAGTTTTACACCCTCCAAAATTTTCAATGTGAAATAAAAAAACACTTGACAGCCGAGTTCCAGACTCCTGAAAATGGTCGAAAATCAACTGAAAAAATTATTTTTTGTATATTATTTTAACCGATATTGTAACTTTCCCATTCATTGAAAAATTTACACCCTCGTTATTTTTTTTCAAACTAATAGCAACTTTCAGATTCACTTTTAGAGCATGTTATGATGTTGTTTTTTTTTCTGGATCACATGTTAGTCTAGCCTAAATTTCTGAAAAACACGTAGAAGCACTTTTGTTGCAAGGACTTTTCTTTCCAACTAAAAATAACCATCAAAAAACAATTAAGCGCGAATCAAAACACACATAGACAACAGTTGCACAGAGGACTTTTAACGCAGCCGAAAGTGTGCCATAAAATGGGAAGCCATTTTATGTGATTTATACGGGACAAGGCATCCATTCGCTCCGTCTTTATCTTTTCGAAGAGCAACTGACTTTTTGCTACGAAATGAAACTAACCTTGATCTCAGCAACAAACAGGGTACGGTTGCCTCCCTCGTCGCTGTTCGAGAACTTGAGGAATTCGTTCTCCTCGAGCTCATCGGCTCCGAAGAACCATTGGATCTTGGAGACATCGGCTCCGGTGACGACGACCTGGAAGTCTCGTGGATAAAAATCAAGTCTGGAAAATATACCTCAAGGAACACCGATCCGTTCTCGGATCTGATTTTTGGCTCTCCGTAAATCGATGGTGGGGCCATAGCTGAAAACCGTGAAAATAAGTATTGGTAACACTAACGGAACGAAAAAAAAAAAGTTTACACTTGCGAGAAAAGAGTAGGTGAAATGTTTTCTGATCAGGTATGAGACGAGGTCCTCCTTCGCCGCACACCCCAATGAAAAATGATCTGCCAATGTGTTTTTATCATCTTTCATCCTCACCCCCCGCTTCTCTCTACTGGGGGACAACTAATCTCTCTTGAGATTTTTTCTAGAACGGTAGTTCAGAAAGTGGGAGAAAAACTAAACAAACAATGTTTTTGTTTCTGTTTTCACTAGACAATGACAAGTGGGTGGATATAGACAAGATGTGTCAACAATGCTCAAGAAGGAAACATTTGGGTACTTGAAAAAATAGCAGAAAAAAGAAGAACGAAGAACGGAAAACGGTTCAGAGCTATGGCAAGGCATAGAGATCACTGAATTTGAAATGTAGATATTTAAAGGAGGCCAGACACCAAAAAAAAAGTTTTCCTGATATTTTGCATAGAGAACCCCCATGAGGGGTTGAACTCATGACAGGCAGCTCAGGGGTACAGCGCCGCTACCGGCTGAGCTACGGAGGCGCGAAGGCGCCTGGCGACCGATGATCTACATAAGCGCGGCGCGATTTCGTCCCCCGAACTGTCCCCCGAAATTTTTGTTGTCTCGCCTCCTTTAAGGCCTGAGAAGGGGATTTCCTGGATAACTGAGAGTCCCAATTTTGAGTTTTGTAGGTATACAACCAGAAACTTATCAATCAAAATTCTCGAGCTAAGAAAATCATAGAGAATTCCTAGGGAGAGAAAAATGATGGCTAGCTTGTAGTTCTCCGATCAGACAAAAGTGCCGAGAGGTCGTCGTCGTTAGAGTCCGTCGACTCTCTCTCTCTCTCTCAAGGTGTTGTGTAATCCGGTGCTTTTCTCTCTTTGCCGCCTCTCTGCTAAGCAGCTCGTTTGCCCGCCTCCTGGTCGCAAAAGAGTCAGAACGAAACGACGGAAAAAAAGATGGCAAAAGATGAATGTCCCAGAGAGATTGCGGAGGAGGAGGAAGGCGATAGGTGTATGGGATGGCACTTCTACTCCACGAAACTTTTGTCCCCTGTCTTCTCCGTCTCGATCATATCCAACTTTTACGAAGTTTTTCAATGATGATTAGCAAGTGACGAAAAAGTTGAGGAGAAACTGCACAAAGGGTGATGGTGTTTTGAAATCGACATCAATGAGCAATCGGTTTGAACGGAGGATGGGAAGTGACGCATTTTCGGGTTTTGAAATTAAAACCGGAGGGCCGAGGGCACTGAAATTTTGTGGGTGGCACTAAAATAGCTGAGTGATCAGTTTGTGCGAAGGTAAAATACTTTGAACCATACAAAAATCTGCCAGGCCCCATGGACCTGGGTTTTCAATTCCATAAACAGTAAATTTCATGATTAAAAGCCACAAAAAACCGTCAGCTTTGAGCACATTTATCTCGCTTGCTGGAAAATACCGTAAAACCTGTATTAGAAGAGCCCCTATAATAGAAGAACCCCTTGTAACAGAAGGGCCCCTTCAAAATGTGTTGTTTGAAATTAAAACGTTTTGTACGTTCTTAGGGAAAAATTATTTTGAAAAATTCGAAGTTTCACAGAAATTGGTTGAATCACTCTCTTTTTGCTAGAAAACGTTCTAAATTTTGGTGAACTGACGATTTTCATGAATTTTGAACGAATATGTAAAAACGTTGTAAAAATATGTGAAACGTAAAAATTTTGGCAAAAAAAAAGACCGGAAAAATAGAAGGGCCCCTCTAATTGAAGGGTCACTGTAACAGAAAAGCCCTCCAGAGGCACCCTGAAACAATATAAGGGCCGGTGTTTACGGTATTAGAAAAACATTTTTGATGAGAAGATTCTGAAACAAAAACCCTGCCTCGTTACAAGTATACTTTGAACGAAAATAGTCGGAACCAGTACTTGTTAGCGGTTTTGTTCGATAGAAGCTTTAAAATCAAAACATTTTTCTGAGAAGTTTATTTTTATAGCAGCTCCGGACAGTTTTGAGAACATGAAAGATCCCCAAGAATTTGAAATACCTACATCAAAAGTTCATAACGTCACTGAAAAGTTCGAAGGGTAAAGGTAAAAGTGTGTCAAATTACTTCGAATTTGTAATTTGACACTTTTGTTTTCTTATTCTTCCAGGTAGGGGAAACCTGTGCCTGAAAATAGAAAGCAGAAATTTTATTACAAAAACTTTATTGATATCCCATAAAATAGTTTCAGGAAATTCCATTTCGCACTTTTTCTTCTTCACTCACATTTTGCTTCTCCTGCGACGATTCAAAGGTACCATTGAAAAATAATTGGATAACACACGCTGTTTCAAACATCTGGACTGATAATGGGTTACACATTCCATTCTTCCTCTCTCCCAGTCGCAAAAGTGCTTGGTATCATTTAAAAAAGAATTCGAAAAAAGTCTGGAAACAAAAATTTAACTTCACAAAATTTTTTCCAGATTCTCGTAAAATCATAAGTGACTAATAGGAAATGTGGTTACAAACAAATAAAATCGAAAATGTACACGTTGTTAGGCATGCACCTTATCAGTATTCTTTCAATTTCTTTTTACCTGTCTTCAGCAGGCCAGCAAAATGTGTCAAGTTTTAAATACATTGTACATATTCTTATTTTTGAGTTTCCATAAATCTATCGCCTATCAAGAAGGAATTTCGTTCGCGACATCTAATTATCCACGACCGTATATTGGACAGTTGTCGGAGTGAGTGTTTTTTGTGATTCTTATTCTGAGGGAATATTACACAATGGCACACAAGAATCGCATGATCTCGATAAACCAAGTGTTTGTGTGAAAGTCTATCAATTATCATGAATTGATGAGCTATTTTTCGGAACCAATATCCGTCGTTTTCTTTCAAACACCCATTCGTTTCGTGATAAGACAAGGTGTGCAACCTGGACTCGTGATTCAAAATGTATTTTTGCGGGGGGAGTTTTGTCACGTTCTTTGGCAAGATTAGTTAAAAATGAGAGTGTTCATTGGACTTGTTTTAGCAACGGGCCGGGCTAAAATGTTCGAGATCCTAGTAGTTTTGCTTGTATTCCAAAAAGTTTTTCGGGGTGAATAAAAAGAAATAAATCACATTTCAGTCAAATAAAAAGATATCAAAGAACGGATTGTCAAAAAATGAAATTTTTATTGAACATGTAAACTTTTGGATCTGTGAAAAGCTTGGGCCCACCAAACTGAGATTTTTTAAATATAGAAAATGTCAATTTTGAAGTCTCAAAAAAGTAATCCAGAAATTTTTGAGATATGACGTTTGTAAACAAACAAGTTTCTGAAATGCCACAATTATTTCTGAAATGAGAATCGCGAGTTTTCTCTGCGAAACCTACCTTATGGGAAAGAGTGTGGAATGACAGAAAAACGGAAGCAACATATTATTCTTTGATTGTTATTGAATGATACTTTAAAAGTTTCAGACAACTTTGAACCATGTTTGAGCCGATTTATCTCTTTTATTGTGAAAGATATCAGAAAGAGGTCAACTGATGAAATGTTTATAATAATATTAAGGGTATTTCGTCAGTTGACCACTGTCTGATATTTTTCACAGAAAACGAGATATAAGTGCTCAAACTTTCATGAATACTCATCTAACCCGATCTGTTTTAAGTTCCATCTTCCGCAGCTCCAGTTATGACATTAGATCTTTGATGATCCACTTAGTCCAGATCTATACTTTTCTAAAGTTCAGGCGTCACACTGTTTCTGTCAATCAAAGCCAAGGGGTTGCTGTAGTCTTTGAGCAATTCCTTGCAAGTGCCCACGATTGTGTCATAGCGTGTCCAACTAACAATGACGGCTGCTCGAGGTATGTTCAAAACATATGTTCTTTCGAAATTGCAAAAACTGAAAGATAAAAGTTTGAAATAATAGTTTGTGTGGCGATGCGATGGATCACGGGCTTGTCCCTAAAATTTTACGAGTACCCGGGAATGCGATTGTGACCATGGTATCGGTGGAACCAAATGACATGTTTCCACATTCCGGGATTTCAGGGAAGATTATTAAATATGGTGGGCACCTGTGCTGTAAATCTCATTCGTCAACTTTTTTTCAGATCTTAATCGGATTTCATTTTTCGATTGTAAAGACCAAATCGATCTATCATCTGGAGAAACATATTATTTCGTTTCTCAGAACTACCCACTCTCGCCCACCTCCGAAATTTCACAATGCGTCATAAAATTTTTAACATCTGGAAACCGTCAAGGCGTCCGTTTTGCAGTTTATGACTTCTATCTCAACCAACTCCAACATGACTCGTTTTTCATTTTGGGGAAGAACGGGCATAATATTTCTATTGAGTGAGTGTCCCGGGGGACGGGAGGTTTTAAAGGAATACTAAAACACATGAAAAGAATTCCAGGGGTTTTGCCACCGAAGATGAGCCTGTTGCGTATTATTTTGAAAACGAAGCCGATGTGACGTTTTCTATATCTCATCAAGATCACTCATTTACACAGAAACGATTTTACATACTGGTCAATTCCTATGAACGTCAGAAGCTTTACTCAACATATCAATATTCTTAACGGTTTACAGTTTTACCAAATAATCAATGCGACAATACAGGAAAAATAGATATTGCTCTGGGACAAACCATAACATTTGGGACACGACAATTCGGGTCGAATGCATATGAAAATAATCTTAATTGCGGGTTTGATTACACACGAACTGCAACCAGTAATAGTCTTTTTGCACTGGGTAAGTCTTTTGGTGGCTTCTATTGCCCATAAAAGATTTGTTTTTTAGATTGGGAAAAAAGATGAGAAATTTTGCTAGAAAATTGTTAAACATTATCTGTTCTAATGTTTCCAAGTTTTTTGCATGTTTTTTGTTGCTACTTTTGACTGAATCCCTGACGACTTTGAACTATTGTTGGCGTTTTTTGTCTATTTTCGAAAACGAAGAAGACAATTCATTGGAACCTTGTGAAAAACGTAAAGAAATTGACAAAAAGCAACACTGAGAAAACAGGCAAACATCCATTGCAAGACTTTTCAGTCGATTTTTCACGAAATTTCAAACATTCATTAAAAACATTTGGAAAAAAACTTCCGAAAAAAACTTCGGGAAATTTTTTGCGTAACCGATTTCCTAGAAAATAGTTCGGGGATTTATTTTCGGCAATCAGATTCCCTAGAAAAATTTTCCAGAACAAGTACGCCCCTATAAAAAATACATATCGTATACAAACATTTACAGCAATTGAATATGAAACTGAAAAATGTTGTGACACAATGTCTATAGACGGTTTGACGGACGATCAGGTAGATTTTCCTTGAAATTATGAATTATTAACAGTAAAAATTTCAGCAAATCTACCAAGGCTTTCAATATTCCAGTTTGTATTTTACTAAAAGTGAACAATTGAGTTTTCTATTTTCATCTGATCCCCTGGTTGGTGGCACCGGATTTAAAGCTTCTTTAGAACATATCGGTATAATTCCATAATACTAAAATATTTATTCTATATTCACAAAAATTCAGATTGCACATGCTCTGCTGGTTTGGTATTAGTGAAAAACAATGTTTTAACCTCTCCTGGATACTCAAACTCGATTTCATATTGCCCAGATTTATTTTGCACCCCAAAAATAGACTTTCAAGATGATTTATACGATTTGCAAATGGTGTTCACAGATGTGAATTTAAGAAGTTACAGTTTAAACAACGATACAGATTCCTTGACAGTATTCGATGCTTACGATCATACTGTTGTGCAAATGGCACCATCATATTTTGGGTTTATGACTTTTTGGGCTACAGTATCTCCTGTGAGAGTCCAGTTTGTTTCAAAAGTTTTAACCGCATTTCCACTGAATATGATTGGGAGAGGGTACTCTATGAACTTGAATCTGGTTAAAAGTGAGTCATCATTGTTTGGAATTTGTTTTAGCAAAACTTTAATTTGAGAACACATCGTTTCCGAGAAGATCACGTTCACTGATACTAACTTCTTCAAAGATATCTCAAAATTAGATTTGAGTAGCAATGATACGTTTGAATTTGTGGTTACTGGTAGGGCTGAAACACAGGTATACTCGAATAAATTATTATCTAATTGGTTTTTTTCTCCAGATTTTTGTCTACTTTTTCACAAAGACCACAAATCAGGTGTTCATTGACATATTCGATGGCGACTCGATGGACGCGGCACGTATTGATAACAAGTAGGTGATCGAAAGTCGTCCTTATCAATGGGAAACAATTTTTTGTGTTTTAGAGCCTTGTACTCTAATGTTTTGGAAAACGGACCGTCGATGACGTTGAGCACCAGTTCCAATAAAGCGGTTATTCATATCCGTGGAAACCCAGCATTTGTTGGGACAAACACAGATTTCCAGGCGATGATCACAGATTTGAAACCGGAAGAAAGTTGTGGACCATTAGTTTATAGTATGAGGAATGCCAAGGAACAATACAAACATATTCCATTACAAGGAACAAACTGCTATAAAGTTTGAATTGTGTTTGAGCAAAAATTGAGTTTGGGCTTATCAGATTCTTCACTTTGCCGACAGCTCCTACACTCCAAGTGCTTTCATGTCCGTCAAATTTTCGGATAATCTACCTCTGAATCTATTTTATGGTCTTACAACATCTACGGACTATCTTTTGGCAAAGTGCGTTGCATGCCCAATCATTCATAATACTCATTTTTTCAGGTACTCCCATGATCCACGTCCTGAAGACCTGTTCACAAATTATATGGTTTTGCAATACTCAAGCTCCATAGCGGCAACAGTAGAGTTCTTTTGGGACACTTCTAGTATTTGCACTCCCCAAAAATTTCATATTTTGAAAAATAACTCTATCCAGGCGGCCTGATTGCTCGAACAATGCAACCATCTCAGACAGTAATGCTTGTTTCTGATGATTACGGAAAATCCAACACGTCACAAACGATCCAACAGTTCTCAGTGCAGTTGGTAACATTTTCATCAAAAATTCTCCCAACCTTCCATTTTCAAAAGTTTTCAATTTTATCAGGAAGGAGAATCAAATGTTCAAACTGGGCTGACGTGTGAATTTTTGGCCGATTCTGGTTTGGGGACCAGTACTTTGACCTGGTCTGATTACAATAATCAGATAAAACATGAGAGGTTTGTCCAAGAAAACTTTTTCTTCGTTCAAAAAAATTGGATGATAAGAATCTACAGCCACCAAAGAACCGTTGAAAAAAAGAAACAGTACAGTTAGAACTTTTTATCTTGTGGCGTTGAGATTAAATGTTAAATTGGGAGAAGGTTCAATTAGAGAACAGATGTATGGACTATTGTCAGTTGTTGTTTTGAATAAGTGGATTTTTGCAGAGAGTTCATTGAAACATATTTCGAAGGGAACCTCTTTGGAAGAGAAATTATGTTTTGGCATTCAATGATTTTATTGGCATTCGATGAAAATTTCAAAAGGGGGACTCTCCCCAAAAATTTCATTGCATTTTAATATGTTCTGGAAAACCTCGAAATGATTTCAAAAGATAAAAGGGGTCAGCTTTTGCCCATTTCTAAAAACTTCAAAAAGTTTCTGGAATATTTTTTTCTTAAATTGCCACCAAACCAACACTCTTGTGGGGTTGTTTAGAATTTTCAGTTTTTGTGGAAAATCGGGAAACCGTCTGGAAGTTTGCGGAGCGATTTTTCAGGCTTTTGCAAGTTTTTTTTCGAATTTCTAACTTTCCAAAAACCCAATTCAATACTTGATCGAATTTTACGAAAACGAAAAAAAAATTAACTTTTTACAAATGTAGACTTACAACACAAAATTGTAAATAAAATATCTCATTTGACTAAACTCTATTGAAATATCTACTTTGACAAAGGTGCTTACCATAAAAAATTAAGTAAAAAAGAATTTTAAGTAGAAAAACGGGCAGAGAGGTGTCTTCCGGATATTCGCAAATAGCTGAAGAACTATGGTTTTCAAGAAAATATGTGAATGCATAGTTTTCAATCTTAATCTGCTTTACACCCTCTCACACTTTCAATTGTTAAAATGGTCCAAAAAAAATTGGAAAATACTTCTTCTGTATAACTTATTGACTGGTACTGTAGGATCTCTCTGAACAATTTTACAGTAGCATATAAAACAGCTCAACTCTATATTCGGATTCTGATTTTGATTTTAAAAATCTGTTCCAGATTTTCAAATGCCAAGAAATCCCAGACGTTCTCCTCCTGTGGTAACATTCTCCTTGTTGATTACACCTCTCCCGGTGGCGGACGAGACAACGGACTTTACCTAAAAATCACTCGAGGTTTGCCCTTATGATGATCTTTGGCATTCTTCTGTTTACTTTTCCCATCAAAACTTTTCTTGAATGTTTCAGCTGATCTCCGATGTTCGCTCAGTCCATCTCATCTGTCTATTTTCGTTCTACTCTCCATCTCTGTCGGTTCTCTCTTCTTCATTTGAAAGATACACCACTGAGATCACATTCGGAATCAAAAATTACCCTCTTCTTATCACTCTATCTTTTCAAAAGTAATAAAAATTGGAAAGAAGAAAAATCACAACTGTCAACAATCTTTAGAAAACACAAGGGTAGAATTTTTTCATTTTTTTTTGTGTTTCGAGGTAAACGGAACAAGGGTGACCTGGTGATAGGAGAAAAAGACAAACCAAGGGAAAAAAGTAGAAAAAGTTAGATGTACTTTGTGTCAGACCAAAACTGTGTCCCAAAATAAACTAACCAAAAAAATTTTGACAAATCGTTCCACCCATTTTTTGGACCCCTCGGAGTTCAAAAATACAAAAATCAGATGTTTGCCATGCTCAAGGTGTGTACGTGTTTTTGTCACACCGCCAAAAAAAAAACAAACACCTATCAAATCCAATTTCATTCTCTCTTTCAGCTTTTTCTTGAAAATTCACACAACACGTGTCGGGGAAGTTTTTGACACGCGTGTCTAGTGACTTGTTTTTGAGGTTAAGACGTGTTAAGGACGACGGTGGTCCCCCAACAGATTTTTGAAAGTGTTGATGTGTTGTTAGGTTGGCTATCTGAAACAGTAAGCGCGTCGTGAAACGTGATATACCTGGAGGACACTATCCATCATAGTTGTTGATAAAAACGTCCTGAGAAACTAAAACTGACCAGAAATCTCCGAAATGAGTAAGAGAAAAATAAAAGTGAAGGTAAAATTCTGATTTTCGATTCTGAAATTGTTATGGAAATGATCGAAATAGCAATTTTTGCAATTGCAATAAATTTCCTTTCATGTGTTGATTGTTGTATGACTCAAGAAAAAAAAAATTCGTGATAATAGGTTTCAGAAATCACTAATTTCTAATTATGCGGTCAACATTTCAATGACAAGTAGTCCGGTTTCCCATTGTTTGATCTTTTAACTATCTGTATATGCAAATGAGACAAGGCCATCACCACGTGAGACTACTAGAACGGGTTGATCCTCAAAGATTCCGTGGAATTTCTCTGCGTCTCTGACACTTTTCAGATTTCCTGTTAAGGTCACGTGTGGAGAGGTGATCTATCAGGGATTCCCCCGTTTTCGGGGGAGACCCTTTTGTCTCATATGGTCGGGGGGTTTCCCGTTTCTCACGTCATTCTAATAATACGACGCTTCTGTTATCAAGATGGAGGGAATTATGGATAATAATAATTGTAACGGGAAGGAGGAAATCAAAGGGTATGGAACAAGTAAAGATCAAACCATCAGAAGGTGAACATCGGACACTATACTTTATAATGAACGGAATATTAAAAAATGTATTGAGAAAAGGTATTCAGAGCTAAAAATTTAGAAGACGTTGCTCCTCAATTCGGGGGTATAAAATGGCTGTAAAATTCGAATTTTGTATCTCCGAATTGTGGATTTTGTACCCCTAAATTACTTTGTACACCCTTGTGCCCCCCCCCCCCCGAATTATTCTGCTCTCCGAAGTATGTGCATCATCGGTGATAGAAGAAAAAATAATTTGCAGAATTTTTCGGTACCTCTGAACCTAATAGTTCTCCTGAACTTTCATTGTGCAAAACAATATCTTCGAATTGAAACCATCAATTTCAGAAATCGTGTTTTACTTTTTCTTTGAAAATTTTTATTTTTAGAACAAGCTCTTGACCGATCGTTTTGAACTTTTTACATATTTACCAAAAAACCATTGAACTTCCTGATTTCCCAGAAAACAGCACGAGATAGCACTAATATCTGAAAGTCTGAAGACATCTCAATCCCTGCACCTACCAGTGTTTCCTTAAAAAATCCCACTAACGCGTTTACATTCTTTTTTTGTGTTTTGGGTTGAGTTCCAACAAGATTTGTTCTTCCTGTCTGCTTCGAACTTCTTCCTTGTCACCTCATGAACATCTGCTGATATCAGATAGACAAGGATGTGCAATTGATGTGATTTTAATGGCTCATATGGGGTGAGCATCATGAGCCGAAAGTCTGGAAGAAGAAGAAAAATATATGACGACGTAAGATCAAAAACATCATCTGGAAAAATAATGGGTCGGGTGTGAATGAAGTTCATGACCTGAGAAATAGAAAAAAAAATCATATTTTGAAAATCAAGACCCGGCCCAGTCCAGTAAGCCCTGGATTTTAGATATGAAAAAAAACTGAACTGTCACTCATTTTTCAAATATAATTTGTGAAAAAAACATTTTTTTCGGAAACTTTTCTTCGCAAACTTTTTATTTGGCAGAAATTTATGTTTTATTAACTCCGAAACTTTGAAAAAATACCGGATACATTTTTTCGGAAACCCTGAATTTTTGAATGAAGACCGGTTTGGCCCGGTCCGTTGCATGTATGAGAAAAATAAATAGAACAGATTTTTCAAAAATCTGAAAATATGGAAACAAAATCAAAAAAACAGAAACATCAAAAAACAAATTTAACTGATCGCAAAGAACTGATTGAAAATGATAAGGAACAGGTACACTTCAAAAATTCGTTATTAAAAATTTGTTATAAATTATATTTTTGAGAGTACAATTCTTTCGATTTTCTGTGCATTTTGATTATTATAATAGTCGGACATTTCTCACTCAAAATAAAGTTCCTCTAATCGTTGTTTCAAATTGTTCCCTATAGTTTTTCCTCTAATAAAGGTTTCCCCAAATTGTCAACTTTGAGCTCAATTTACCTCGACTTCTGTGAAATCTATGAAAAATTTACAAATTAATAAAAAGTTGATAATATTATGAAAAAAATAATCATCAGTTGAAAATTTTTTGATATCTCTATCAGGAATCGGGATGATTGAGCTCAAAGTTGACAGTTTCGGTGTGCTTCGAGGAAATACGGTAGGAAACACTTTAGAACGCCTGATTTTAAAAGATTCCATAATTTCTCCAATTTTCACATTTCTTATTTTCTTTTCACTGTCATAGTCCATCTTGGTTTCTCAAAGTAGCAACCGCAGTTATTATTTCCTTGTCAACAAGCCTACCAATTTCTAGTTCCGCCAACCTTTTGGTTTGAAGAGCTTGTTTATATTTATATAAAAACAATCAGATACAGAAAAACCCGGGTTTTCTAACCTAGAACGTGTGTTTTTATCAGGTTCAACAACTAGTTTGTTTTTAAGAACATTTTTCATTTTTCCAGTATGTTTTTGTTCAAGCTCCCCCAACGGTCTCTCAGGCCGAGTCCTCGCGGCGGTGGCAAGAAAAAAGCTAGAGAGTACACGAAACGCGGAGACGCACGCGGCGGCACCCCGATTGCGTTTGATTGTGTTCTTGCATCAGATTGTCAACGTCGGGCCCGCCTCGCGACTCCGCCCACTTTTCGGTGTCCACGAGGCCTTTATAAAGGACGGTCCACGAGCTCCAAGGTATCCACTCATCACTCACACCACACTTCTAGTGTGCGTGTGTTCTTCGCTATCCAGCGTTTTCCTCTTGGATTCCCAAACGACTTACTGTCATCATGTGCGGCGTCTTTGCTATCTGCCAACAAACTTGCCAAAAAGGGCAAAAGGTCGACATCGATGAAGCTCGAAAGCTGTCGAGGTAAGAGAAAAAAAGAGTTCAACCTGACGAGAAATGTGAATATTCCAGAAGACAACACCATCGTGGACCGGACTTCAACGGATTCTACCAGGACAAGAAGACCGGAGACATCCTCGTCCATGAGCGTCTGGCCATCATGGATCTAGGATGTGTTCAGCCTATACAAGGAACAAGACCAACACGACAGGTGAGCTAATATTACTGTATCAGTTCACCCATACTGTAGGAAATTCAAGAATTTCTTAGGAATTTAGTATAGAACTTGATCTACTAAAAAACTAGTATTAAACAAAATGTTCAGTGATATTATAGGTATGTATCATAGAACTTGGTATACTATAGAACTAGATTCCAACTAAAAGCTTGAACAGCGGTTCATGACGTGATGATCATCTGTAGTACAAAGTTTATATGTCTCATCTAGACAAAGCTGTCAAGGTTTCTATATTCAGTTCTTTATTCACGTGAATAGACAAAGTACAATTAGTTTCTTATCACTTGTTATCACTTATCTATCTCTTCGAACTTCCTCCACCACCCTCTCCTCTTGCTTTTGACAGTGTAACATAACACACGTCGCGTCGTGTTCTTTGTGCTGATATTAATGACCGCTAGACAAACTTGCAAAATGTGGCTCTTGACACCTGCCTGCGGTCAAAGATTGAGGAATTGACCCGACACAAATTTAAAACTCAAGATTTTGGGTCTCAGGTGATTCACAACGGTGAAATCTACAACCATCAAGCTCTTCGTGACACTGAGCTCAAGCAATTCAAGCTCAAGACTACTTGTGACTCGGAAGTCATTATCTTCTTGTATGAGAGATACCGTGATGGTCACATCTGCAACATGCTCGATGGAGTGTTCGCTTTTGCTCTCTGCTATGACGGAGACTTCCTCGCGGCTCGTGACCCAGTTGGAGTCAAGCAATTCTACTATGGAATTGATGCCAACGGAAGATACTTCTTCAGGTAATAGCTTTGAAAGAGAATTTTGAAAATCATCATATTATTTTCAGTAACGAGATGAAGTGCTTGGAAGACAGCTGTGGAGATATCAAGATCGAGTCCTTTCCACCAGGACACTACTACACTCCAAAGACCGGATTTGTTCGTTACTTCAACCCACAGTGGTTCGACTACAGAAACGCCATTCAAGCATTGGACCTCAAACTTCTCCAGAAGACTATGATTGCTGCTGTCCACAAGCGTTTGATGTCTGACGCCCCAATCGGAGTGTTGCTTTCCGGAGGTCTCGACTCCAGCTTGGTCAGCTCTATTGCCTCGAGAGAAATGAAGAGAAGAGGGATGACCGTTCACTCTTTCTCCATCGGTGTCGATCACAACTCTCCAGATGTGGTGGCTGCTAGAAAGGTGGCCAAGTTCATCGGAACCACTCATCATGAATTCTACTTCAGCATTCAGGTATGCTAGCATTGTGAAAAACAACTCTAATTCTCTAGTTTCCAGGAAGGAATCAAGAACCTCCGCAAGCTGATCTGGCACCTCGAGTCTTACGATGTAACCTCGATCCGTGCTTCTACTCCAATGTACTTCCTTTCTGAAGAGATCAGAAAGAAGGGAATCAAGGTTGTTCTCTCTGGAGAAGGAGCTGACGAGATCTTCGGTGGATACCTCTACTTCCACAATGCCCCATCCGACGAGGAGTTCCAAAAAGAAACCATCGACCGTGTTCTTCATCTCTACACTTCTGATTGCCTCCGTGCTGACAAGTCTTCCATGGCTCACTCTGTCGAAGTCCGTGTGCCATTCCTTGACAAGGCCTTCATGGAAGCTGCCATCACCTTGGATCCAGCATTCAAGCGTCCACAGAAGCTCGAGGACGGAAGAAACTGCGAGAAGTTTGTTCTTCGCTCTGCCTTCAACACTGATCAATACCCATATCTTCCGGATGAGATCCTCTGGAGACAAAAGGAACAATTCTCCGACGGAGTTGGATACAACTGGATCGACTCTCTTATGCAACACTGTGCCTCTAAGATTACCGACAAGGAATTCGCCCAGGCTTCCAAGTTGTTCCCACACAACACTCCTCACAGCAAGGAGGCATTCTACATGAGAAAAATTTTCCATGAGCTCTTCCCATCGGACCAAGCTGCTCTGACTGTCAGAAAATGGATTCCAAAGTGGCAAAAGAACCAAGACCCATCAGGTTTGTCTAGATAACAAATTTAGCAAAAGATTCTAAAAATTTGATTTCAGGAAGAGCTTCCCTTGTTCACGAAAGTTCCTATCACAACTTAGGCGAGGACAACTGCAACGGAAAGTCCGCCATCACCCAGCAACGTATTGAGCAGTGCAGACCACAAGCATAATCATTTTGTGTTCAATATGTCATGACGGATTACATTCCTCTCGCTTTTCATATCCTCGTCCTGTCAATTATCCTATCCGCGCTTTATGGGAGGTAGTCACCGGCGGCTACACATTTATTTTTTATTGTATCTTGTTTCCAGTAGTTTTTATTGTTTGATTTCTGCTTCTTTTTTGGTAACTTTTATGCGAAATAAATATTTTTCGGGAATCTCTTTTTTCCTTTTGAAAATAATTCCTAGTGGTCGGCGAGAAAACAAAAAACAATATTCTTGTCCGGCGTTTTTGATACAGTATTTTGAAATCATCTCATTCTTGACTATTTTCTTCAGTATTCAGCTTTCAGCTGAACTTTTTTTATAAAGTAGAAAAACATATAACAAGGGAACCTCAAAACCTCGTAAACCCAGATTTTGACAATTATCTCAGGATAGGTTGAGCATTACATATCCAAACACTTTTAAAGATTTTCAGAATCCTGTCAGTTTCAGCTGACTTTTATCAATTTTAGTACCAAAAATCGGATTTTCAGTGCAAAACAGCGATTTTCAAAAACGATTTTCTCAACTTTTAGAAGTTCCAGAACATGAATTTTGCTGTGTTATACTAAAAGTTAGTTCAAATTTCATATTTCAGACATTTTCTAAAAAAGAAAATTGTTTCGATTTTTTCCACGATTTCCCAATATTGTTCGAGGGGAAAATGTCTGAAATATAAAAATTCATTTGATTTTAAGTATAACACAATTAAATTCATGTCCTAAAACGTCGTATAAGTTGAGAAAATCGTTTTGAAAATTACTTTTTTCCAATGATAAGGCGATTTTTGGCACTGAAAATGATATAACTGATATAACAGGTAAGCGGATTCTGAAGTTTTGTCAAAGTGCCCAGTTAGACATCTCTTAACTCATCCTAAAACTTTCATTTTTATCCGGATTTACAAACTGTTTAGGTTCCCTTGTTAAAAGCCCATCGTCGGTCCTAAAAACAACTTCTACTGTTTTTACAGATAAATGATACAGTATTTCGGAATTTTTTCATTTTTGCCAATTTACTTTACATTTTAGCTTTTTTTTTCTTTATTTTTCCGATTCTCATGAATAGCCATCTGAATTTTTATAAAGTAGAAAAATATCTGAAACAAATGTATTCTGAAGTACTGTATATCGTAGGCGCATGAATTTATTTGTAATAACCGTGGCTGTTTTTGCTTCAGAACCATAGATACGTTTTTAACTGAACTTTCGGATGCAAGGTTCATCGCCGCCGGACAAAAATAAAAACAAATAAATGTAATTTTTATCAGGTAGACAATGTCATGGCCATAAATCGCATTAACAGTTTCACCATACAAAGTTTCACGAAAAAACCAAAAAAAAAAATTGGCACGTCCTTGACCTCCCCTTTCCGTTTTTGCGAAGTCTCAACGTTTCTGAATGCTTGGCAAAAACCATTCATTACTAGACATGATAAAAAATCGTTCAGACACGATAAGAGAGGTGGTTCTCTTTTTTTTTCGCCTCGTCGTTGTCTTTTTTCATTCGTTTCGGCAACATTTCTTTCTCCCTGTCCATTATCTCGAATTAAACCGACAGTTCCTTTTCTATTCTGCAGGTAGTTTCGAGAAAAGATCCGTGATTCCGATAAGAGGTTTTGGTGTCTTGTCTGGCAAGAAAAACGTCACAACATGTTTTGGTTTTTAGAAGTTTCGGATTCACTCAAAAATCGTTTTATTTGCTTTCGAAGGTTATTCCTTTTAATTTTTTAAAGACACGGTTTTTTAAAAGGAATCGAATTGTAATTGTAGAAATTGTTAACTTTCAAATGAATGCTACCGAGTTCGTTTTGTTTACTTTGCATGCGTACGCGCTTCTCTAAAATTTTTGCCACTTTTTAACAAACAAGGTTTATCAGTTACAAACAAAATTCAAAATTTCGTGGAGTTCGCAAGCCTGAGAGTGTTCTGAAGTTTTGTGAATTTCTACCTGAAACATGATAAGCTCCATTTTAAAGAACTTTCAGCATTGAGCTACAGTGGTTATGTTTTTTTTCCTGCATATTCGATCTCGTTCTTTAGTTGCAAATATTCTTCAGATGTTTACATCGATCTATCGTGTCTAGCCGCCCCGCAGGAAAACTGTTTAATCAAAATACGTTAGACCGTTTGTTCACCACTCCCAATAATTTATCTAGAAGAACAACGACGACTGCGTTACGTCGAATTTTCGTTGTCGAAGGTTATCTAGACCAATAAAAGTTTCGCTTCTTTTTCATGTTTTTTAAAGGCCATCTGGGCTCTTGCGATCATTTTGTGCTCACTGAGTCGAACTGAATTTATAGAAAAATTTCAATACTAGTCCGCAGTAGTGAGAAAAAAGAGAAAATAAATAACGAGGTAAACATAAGCTTGATTTCTTGATTCTCATTTTCTTCTTCTCTTCTTTTTTCTGTGTTTTCTGTGACGAACATTGGCCATTTTCCCTTTCACGGGGTGCCGAAAAAAGGAGGGCAGTTTTGAAGGGCAATAAACTACACGCGGTTTCATTGTGCTTTACGGGAGCTCTTCTTTTCGGTGCTCCGCGGAGCTCACATTGTTCCTCTCAACATTTTTTACTTTGTGTCATCCAAAATTCCAAATTTCAATCTACTAATGGAGTTGGTTTCATCTTGAAATTTGAGTGATAGATGGTGCGACATATTTTATATTCTTTGTATTTCGCTTCTTCATCTTTTTCTTCTTTTTCTGTTGTTGTAATGGCTAAGAATTCAGATTAGAATTTTTGGTCGAAATAATATTTTTAGATGAGATGGTTTTGCTGATTGGTTATTGAAAGATTCAAAAATGAATTAAAAGTTTTAAAAATAATTAAATCATCTGAGCATCCATTGTTCACGGCTTACAAGGAAATCTCAACACCTTGTAAACCGAAATTTCAATAAAAATTTTAGGATAGGTTGAGAATAGATTGCCAAAACATTTCTGAAAATTTTAGAATCCGCTAGCAAGTTTCAGGCGAGTTATACCAGTTTCAGTACCAAATATCGCGTTTTCAGTGCAAAAAGTTTACTTTGAACAATTTTCTAAACTTTCAGGGCATTTCATTAGATTTTTTTTGTCATATTCAGAATTAAATGAAATGTTATAGTTCAGACATTTTCTCAAAAACCTGTTTTTTGATTTTCGAATAAATCAGAAAAATTGTGGGAAAAACTCGAATTTTTTAAAGAAAATGTTTGAGATGTTAAACTTCATAAAATTCTGAGTACAACGCAAAACATTTGATGCTCTGGAACGTCCTAAACGTTGAGAAAATCATTTTTGAAATTGCTGTTTTGCGCTGATAACGAGATTCTTGATACTGGAAGTGATATAACTCGGCTTAAACTTTCGAGTGGATTTCATTTTTACAGTGGTGTCTAGCTAGTCTTTTTACAACCAATCCTGAAATTTCTATCGAAATATGGGTTTACAAGGTGTGGAGGTTTCCCTTGTTACTTCTTCCTGTTGCAATACATTTTCAGTTTTTTCCTAAAGTGTTCACTTTAATACTTCTGCTATGAAGATATCCTAATCCATACCACCGTTGTGATGACGCAATCCCGTTTTTCTTTTATTCTCCATTCTTTTTCCGCTTCCGCCCAGACACTTTCCTATGTTTCAATGTGGATTTTCGCTCTTTGTAGGAATAGAGATTAACTGATAGATGAACCGCCCTTCTCTTTTTTTGCTAATCCTCTTTTCAGAGTTCTCAAAACCAAACACTTCATATTATAAATCCATAGTCGCGTCCTCAGCCAGCTTTCGATTTTTTTTGTAGCTGTCTGAAAACACTAACACTAGCTAGTTTGTACTGTTCTGAGCAATGAACTTTCTGAAAGTGCACGCGCTCCAGAGATCTAACAGACCCGAAAAGGCTAGTCCGCGTGTCTTGTGTTTCCATCGCAAAAAAAAACTTTGAAAACTGGTCATTATCCTTCTAAACATATGTCAAAGGCTGACTTAACGTCTTCCTGTTAATATTTGTTTACTCTGAATTCGAACTTCACTAGAGCGTGTTTAGAAATTTCAGCACAAAACGTTGCTCGTGATGTAATGTGCTCAAAACTCAAACGATACATTATTTTCTCAACAGCTAGAGCAAATTTTCCAAAATTTTTTCCCACAGTGCTGGTTTTTTGTTCATCATCTGTTTTTGAGAAACTCTTTTTCAGACGCCACTCCTTCTGAAAAATTTGTATACATTTGGCTGCATAGATTTAGAGAGTGAGGTGAATTTAATACGTTGTGACGGCAATACAATGTGGGATACATTGCAGTCTAGGTCCCATTTTAAATTTGTTCATATCTTGTAAATCTAGATTTTGTATGAAATTTTATGATATGTTGAGAATAGTCTATCTAGTCACTTTTGAAAATTCTAAAATCCATTCGCCAGACCTAAAATTCTAATTGAAGGCTGTGTTATACTTTCACTTTGAGATCAATTATCTC